CTGAGATGACGCTCAAAAGGGACAATAATCACAATTAAGGGACCTTGTTTTAGCTCCTGGGCAGAAAGCCTGATGTTCTGCACCCAGGGAGCAGATGTTATCAATATGACCTCAGTTCCAGAGGTGGTCCTTGCTAAAGAGGCTGGAATTTGCTATGCAAGCATTGCCAAGGCAACTGATTATGACTGATGGAAGGAGCAAGAAGCAGCAGTTTCAACTGATTGGGTTTTAAAGACCCTGAAAGAAAATGCTAATAAAGCCAAAAGTTTAGTCCTCACCCCCATACCTCAGATAGGTTCACGGAATGGTCAGAAACCCTCCATAATGTGATTAATATGGCTCCAGTTTTGGTTTTATTACCAAGACACTAAAACAGCATGGCTGCCTAGAAGAAAAGAAGACTTTCTAATTTGAATCACTTTGAGAATTTTACTTAATTTAAGGGGGCAGAACTAGGAAAGACATGCAGCTTTCATGCCCTTGCCTGCAAAAGAACATGTAGTAAGACAAGACAGTGCATGTTAGAGACTCCACCTAGAAGACTTTCTAATTTGAATCACTTTGAGAATTTTACTTAATTTAAGGGGGCAGAACTAGGAAAGACATGCAGCTTTCATGCCCTTGCCTGCAAAAGAACATGTAGTAAGACAAGACAGTGCATGTTAGAGACTCCACCTAGAAGACTTGGAACACAGAAGAAAAGGACATGGACAGCAACTGTGGCAGGAAAGCTTACATTTTAGGGAAAAGTTTAAGCAGATAACGTTCTCTTTGCCTCTTATTAAATTTACAACAATAAATGCTGAGGGTTTCCTATGTCGCCAGGGAATGTGAGGAAGAAATGGGACTGTTTATTTGTGTGACTGTAAATTGGTACAGTCTTTCTCAAAGGAAGTTTGGTAAAATGCCTCAGAAGGCTTCAAAATATGTATGCACTTTGTTGATCATTCATAGGAATTTCTCTTTTAAAATGTGCCAGAATATGTACAAAGAACTGTATAAAGAAGGGTGTTTAATAGGGTTAATTATATTAGCAAGTATTCCAAATAATCAGAATATCCAACAGTTGGAGGTAAATTATGCTTTATTTTTGGTTAGACTGTGAAGCAGCCAACTGAATATCATGTTTTCACAGATTTTGTGCTCTACAGAAATAGCTGCTAATAAAAATGTTTTTAAAAGAGGCACTTTACAACACTAGTTTTGTTTTAAAATGCCACATAAATGTACAAAGAAAAACCTGGAAGAAAATATACAAAATGTTTTTGTTATTATATTTGAGGATGGGATACTGGGTAATTTTTTATTTTCTTTGCGTATTTCTGCATCTATACATTCTTCTACAATGAATATAATCAAATAATAAAGTTGTAAAAAAAAAAAAACAACCCCAAAACACAAGTCAATGTGACAATGAGTCAGGATAGCTGTGTTCCAATAAAATTTTATTTGTAAGAGTAAGTGGTGTCAACAAAAGAAATTTCCAACAGAGTAAAAAGACAACTCAGAGAGGGAAAAATTTTAGCCAGTTGTTCCTCAGACAAAAGACTTCTATCTAGAACATATAAAGAATTGAAAAAAAAAACAGACCCCCCCCAAATTCAAAGACCCAATCCAAAAATGGTCATTTGAGATGAATACACACTTCTCATATAAAGAAATACAAATGGCAAATAAATACATGAAAAAATGTTCAACATCATTGATCACTCAAGAGATGCAAATTACAACACAGAGATTCCACCTCACCCCAGAAAGAATGGCTATCATCAAGAAATCAACCAATAACAAATGCTGGAAGGGTTGTGAAGAAAAAGTGAACCTGTCGGTGGGAGTATAGACTGGTGCAACCACCATGGAAATCAGTAAGGAGATTCTTCAAAAAACTAGGATTGGAGGTCCCACTTGACTTAGCTATTTCCTTTCTGGGTATCTTCCCAGAATTAAAAACACTGCACCACAGCAATATATGTACACTCATGTTTACAGAAGCACAATTTGTAATAGCTAAATCTTGTGACCAACCCAAATGTCCATCAACCAAGGAATGGATAAAAAAGATGTGGTCTTTTTATACAATGCAGTACTGCTCAGCCATAAAGAAAGATGAACTGGAGACTTTTATAGGTAAATGGATGCAACTTGAGACCATACTCGTAAGTGAAATAAACCAGTCGCACATGTGTAAACACTGTATTGTCTTCCTGGTATGAGAAACCAAAAGAGTAAATAAGATCCACAATGTATAAACAGATATTGTAAAGTGAGAAAGGAACTTCAAAAGGAAAGAGCAACTGGGGTGGAAAAAAGGAGAAAAGAATGAAAGGAAAAAATACAAGATAGTTAAGATAGTTATACTACTAGATTCTCTTAGTTCGTTGAAAAGAAAAGTTTGTGCTAATACCATTTATGCTTGTACCCTGTACTCTGAGTAACTACTTTGATGATAACAATAAGCAATGTGTGTTAACAATTACTCTATTATTTTGTTCTGAAATTTTATTTTTTCTTTAAAATAAAAAAAGCCAGGTATGGTGGCACACGCCTGTAATCCCAGCACTCAGGAGGCTGAGGCAGGAGGACCACTGTGAGCTCGAGACCAGCCTGGGCTACAAAGTGAGGTCAGGGCCAGCCTGAACTGAAGAGACCCTGTCTCAAAAAGACTGACTGACTGACTGACTGACTCACTAAATAAATAAATAAATAAATAAATAAATAAATAAATATAAAATATGAGTAAGTGGTGGGCTGGGTTTAGCCTGTGGTGTGCAGTTCATTGACCCCTGCTCTATTTTACCAGATGGCTCCTAGGGCAGGTATGAGTACCCATTAGAATCTTCCCTAATCTCTGGAAATACAGAGGATTCTCCAGTTTTCTAAGGGCCTGACTGTCTACCAAGGTGGGCCATGTGGGGTTTACAGAGGTGAAAGGAGGCATGGTCCACCTCCAGGCTGTGTGAATCTAGCGGCCAGGCTAGAAGCCTGCCAGGGACCTTGGGGCAGACACTGCTATTCTTAGTCACATCACCTATGCTTAGCACTGGGTTGTTACTGGCAAAAGGGTTCAAACCTCAGCCGTGCTACCACTTACAAACTAAATAACCTTGGACAGATTACTCAATCCCTCTCAAGTTTAGTGTCCTTGTTTCCAAGAAATGCAGACAAGAATCATACTTGCCTCCTGGAGCCCCAAGATTTAGATCAGGTAACCCTTGTAAGGCACTTAGCATGCTGCCAGACATATATAGGAAGGGCTACATCTGTGGTCATGACAGTTAAATTGCCTGTTGGGCACCTCCCATGTGCTAGAAAACGCTAAGTCACATTTTTTTTTTTTGTTTGGTTTTTTGAGATAGGGTCTCATTATGTAATCCAGGCTGGTCTTGAACTCATGGTGACCCTCCTGCCTCAGCCCCGTGATGTAATATTAATTACTGAGAAAGGAGTAGTGTATCCAACTATAAAAAAGAAAATTTGCTGGTTAGAAAGTCTTGACTCCTGTCACCAGTTCCTTTCCCAGGAACTGATCTTTAAGACCCAGAATGAAGGAGGATAACAAAAACAAAAGGAAGTTTTCTCCAGTGACAGAAGGTGACTTTCTTTCCCAGAAGCTCCCTAACCCCTCAGGTGACTTCAGTCAGTGATGTCATCCACAGCATGGCTAGCTGAAGACTAATATACTGGTTAGCAATGGGACCTGTTAGTTGATTTTTAAAAGCAGGTAAAAGCAAACAAAACTACAAAAGTTAGCTTAGCTCTTGGTTACAATTTCAGAACCTTTTTGCTACAGCTTAGATCCCTGGTTCTAAAATGACTCCCAAAGCTAGTTGTGGTGGCACACGCCTGTGATTCCAGCACTTGGGAGGCTGAGGCAGGAGGACTGCTGCGCGTTTGAGGCTAGCCTGGGCTCCATAGTGAGACCTTGTCTAACAAAAATATCTATGTATCTACATCTATCTGTATGGCTCCCAGACCAGGAGGCCGGAACACCACCACCTGAATTCGTAGGCCCCACCCAGGCCCGCTGACTCAGAAGCACTGGGCACAGGGTCCCAGTCTGTATTTTAGCATACCCTCTGGGTGACCTGTCGCACGCTCAGGTTTGAGAGCTATAGGTACAGAGATCTCAAAGAGGCTGACAAAGTAGTAAGGTCATCTCCAATGTTTTTCTTTAGGGGTCAGAGATGGAACAAGGCCTTGTGCCTGCCAGGGAAGTGCACCGCAGTCCTCTGAATTTCCTTATAATGCGCCTGTAAAGGTAAAACTTGTAGTTTTGCAAGCTGGTAGGTATGCATATACACATACGTATACATTTGTGTACATATTTTCTATGGTACTGGGATGAACCCGCGAGAGGCAAGCATTCTATTACCCACCTATATATATACAACCAGGCCTTTACACTGTTTTTTGGTTTGTCTGTTTTTACTTTTGAGGCACTGTCTTGCTAAATTGCCCAGACTACTTGGAATTTGCCATCCTCCTGCCTTGGCCTCTTGGGTAGGTGGGATTACACGCATGCACAGCCACGCCCAGCATATATATTTTTAAAAAGGTAACATTATGCACTGTCTTGCTAATATCCAATTAAATTATGAGACATACACTAATAGATCGAAAAAAACTGGCAAAACAGAAATAACATCTCCAGCAACCAGCACTGCACAGACCGCCGGGAGCGACGTCGGGGACCGCGTTCTTCCGCTCGTCGGGGCAGCTCTTCCGGGTTTACCTTAACCTTCCCTGCTCACAGAGGCACCGCCCTGCCCTGCGCGCTGCTTCCGCCGCACCACGCGAGAGGACTCCTCGCGCCGCGCCTTCCGCGGGCCTCGGAGGGTGCGCGTCACTCGTCCCAGGGAGTCTGCAGTGCTCGCTCCCAGTCCTAAACCCCGCAGCCCACCCTCACTTCCTGGTGCCCGCGAGGTTTCGCCTCCACCCCAGTCATGGCGGACCCGCCCCCAGAAGACCATGCGGCTCTGTCCAAACCCCGGAAGTCCCTGCGGCCCAGTCGCCAAACCCGGAAGCCCTTGCGGCTACCCCGCCCCCTCGCAGACCTAATCTGCTGGCTGCGGTGCTGGTGCGGACATCCGGGGGACGTCAGGCCCCGCGCCCCTACCCATCCACCTGCGCAGGTGGCGCTCTCCACGAGCAGTCGTCCCGGCGCGCTGGGCCGCAGCGGGCTGAGCAGACCCGGCCAGCTGGTGTGTGTATGCACGGGTGCGTGTGTGCTGTGCGGTGTGCGGGGCCGGGGCGTTCGCGGAGCCGTCAGCTGTCAGCGGAGGAACACAGTCGTGGCTCTTGGATTCATTCCTGAGGTTTTGAATCGCCACTTAGTGTTGGGTATCTTTGGAGCCATCCTCGCGCGGTCTCCGGGAGTCAGCCTGCGGGCGTGGCAGCTCCCCGCTCCCGTGGCCGCCCCGTCGGGTTTGGGCCGGGCTCCGGGTGGTCTACAGCGTCCATGCCTGGGAGAGCGGAGAGCGAGCTGCTCTCTGTCCCAATATTGGCTCAGCCATGATGGCTCTTTCAGTTCCTTTTTTTTACGGGAGGCTACCACAGGGGAAAAGGGTTTCCAGTGGGTCACCGTGCCGCGAGTTTGAGGGTTACAGGGGCTCGATGGCTTTGGCAAGGCTAAGGTTTCCAGGTAGGAAAGGCAGACAGGGTGGTCGGTGTGACCCCATGGCAGCCCGCACAGCTGACCAGGGGAAGCCTCCTCAGAAGGAAGCCACATGTGGCTCCAGGGCTCCAGCTGCCTCTCACCCCTGTCCGCAGCCAGTGCAGACACCTTCCAGGATGTACATGCGGGTGGAGACCCGCACCAGCTCCTGTCTCCATCTGAAGAGGGCTCCAGGCATCCGGTCGTGGTCCCTCCTAGTTGGTAAGACTTTCTAAATGTTTTCCCAAAAGAAAAGTCTTAAAAGGATGAAAACAAAATAAACTATTTCCTCTTTTGTTCTACCCCAAATATACCTGTTGCTTTTTTTTTTTTTTAATGTTGTCGGATTTTTTCCTACCTACAAGGGCTTACAGATAATGCCAGTTTAACACTCTGTGTGCTCTGTGTTTTTCTTCCTCTTTTTTCCACCCCGACGTCACCACAGTGTGTAAAACTCTTGATATTCTGGTCCGTGTGGTGGGTGATGGTGGATTCCCGTTTGCCTCTCCCCTGTCTCAGTCTCCCTCTTGGGTCCACGTCACTTCCTGGTCTCCATCCCCCATCGCTGGTTGCCTGGAGGGCTTGTGCCCTTGGGGCCAGAGGCACATGCGTTGACCGTGGGTGGAGGTGCTGGCTCTGGCTGCAGCAGCCACGTCTCTGGGGCACTCTGTGGCCTTCTGCACACTGCTGTGTGCTGTGTGGTTCTCTGTGTAGTTGTCATTCCTTACTGTGTGCTGTGCGGGTGGTAACTGTCTCTGGCTCCTTTGTGGGTTTCTGGGGAGCTCCAGTCATGTGTACTGATGTTTGTACAAATGCCTTGTTTTCCCTGCACTGCATGGAGGATCTCTGCCTGATGTGCCCCAGAACACAGCTTTCCTGCAGTGGGGAGCACCCACTTGCCTCCACCGCAGCTCTGGGAGAAAGTGGGCCTCCTCGGGGGTTGGTAGCAAGGCGCTTCCTGTCTCCCCACAGGCATCCTGTCGACTGGGTTGGCTGCTGCCTACTACAGTGGAGGTAAAAGACACTGTCTCTTCTCTGTTTCCTCACCTGTTTGGAAGAACTCACTTGCGAGTGGTTGTGGCATGGCCTCTGGGGTGGTCAGTGCCCACGCTGCAGTGGTGTGCTGCCCACCAGCCTGCACTTCCAGATCTCAGGCAGTTTCCTGTGCCATCAAATATTCCCTAAGAGGCTCTAGTGATTGCCTAAGATCCTGCTGCAGGAAGGAGCCAGGTTCACAGCGCTCCACCTTACCCCCTGCGCCCCAGCTGGACTCCCAGGGGCAGTTAGTTTGGCCCCTGGCTGCTGCTCCGGCGCCTGTGCCCAGCATCTGGGGAAAGGTTGTGCTGGGCTCCGTGGCATGTGGCTTTGCCTCTTCCTCATGGGCTGGCTCCTGTGTCTCTTGCAGATAGTCTGGGTTGGAAGCTCTTCTATGTCACAGGCTGCCTCTTCGTGGCTGTGCAAAATCTGGAGGACTGGGAGGTAAGGCAGTGCAGGGTGAGCCCTGTTCTGGTCCTGGAGCGTTTGTCCTAGCATAGAGGTGTTCACGTAGTTGGACTTGGCTCCTAGACATTGCCTGTGGCCATCCCTGGGCCCAGGAATCTCCCACACGTTCCTGATGATTATTCTCACCAAAGTTTTCTACTCTAGGGGTTGCTGGGGCACAGAGGGGGGAGTCTGCATCCTCCTGCAGCCAGTGCTTTTTCCTTGCCTGTGTTGCCCTTGGGAGTCCTTGAAGCTACCTGGCCTGTGCTCCTGACCTCTAACCTCTGCCTCCTTGTGGCTTCACTGCTGTCCTGTCCTGATGCAAAGAGGAGAGGCCACTTGCTCTACCACTCTGTCTTGCCCTGGTGCCTGGTGGGAATCCTGGAGTCAAACAGCACACTGGGTTCTGGTGGTCAGCTTGGTGGGCTCTGGGGCTATGTTCTGACTGGGAGGGCCCCTTGGGTGTCCACTCTGATGTGGGTGGGGATGAGGGCTCTCCCTGGAGTTCTGTGTGTGGTCAGTGCATGTTGGTTTCCAGGAAGCCATCTTCAACAAGAGCACTGGGAAGGTCATTTTGAAAACGTTCAGCCTCTACAGGAAGCTGCTGACCCTTCTTAGAGCAGGCCATGATGAAGGTGAGATGTGAAAAGTTGGGACACTGTGCATCTGGGGGAAAGGGGACACAGCCTGGGTCCAAGGTTATGTGCTCAGTGGTAGGGTTCCCCAGACTCCCCCTAGCCTTTGAGGTGGAGTGCAGGCATGTTTCTTCAGAGGCTCAGTCTGTTGAGATGGGGTCAGGGCAGGTGGGCGCTGAGGTGGGTCATGGGGCCAGGTAGGTGGAATGGGTGAGCAGGGGCTGTGGCCTCTGACCTGCACATCCCCGCAGTGGTGGTCCTGCTGAATGACATCCGGGATGTGAATGTGGAGGAGGAGAAGGTCCGCTACTTTGGGAAAGGATATATGGTGGTGCTGCGGTTCTCCACAGGCTTCTCCCATCCCCTCACCCAGAGTGCAGTCATGGGGCACCGCAGGTAAGGGGACTCCCCTTGGGCAGCATGGGCCCTTGACCTGACCCTCTTTATGGACTGCCCCTTGTCTGGGTTACGGGGAGGAACAGAGGGACCTGCAGGAAGGATGTGCATGCTAGAGGCAGCTCTGCCATGCTGCCCACAGAGGGAATGTCAGACAGAGGGGCTGGGGCTGGGGCAAGCGATGCCAGGACAAGAGATGCTGGGCCCAGTTTGGAAGCCCCGAGGCTATAGTCAGGTGGTCAGGGATGAGGGACAGGTGAGATCTTGCTGGTTGTTGCTAGGTGACCCGCCCTTCTTCTTGGTCCCAGTGACGTGGAGGCCATCGCTAAGCTCATCACCAGCTTCCTGGAGCTGCACCGCCTGGAGAGTCCCTCGGAACGGTCGCAGAGCAGCGACAGTGAGGTTGATGTTCCTGGCAGCCAGAGCTGACAGGCCCAGGGTGGCCATGGGTGAGCACCATCCACAGTATCCTCTTGGCTTCCCACAGCGCCTTATCTGAGCAGCCCGTTGCAAGGCTCCTGGCAGGTCTTGGACGCCTGCCTGTGGCTCCCAGGGCAGCAAGGACAGACTGCCTGCCTTGGCCTGTTCACACTCCTGGCTCCATTCTGCCCAGAGCCGTGCTCATAACCCAGGGGGCTCAGAAGTCACCACCCCTCCCAGAACTAGACAGCAGCCCTGGCCTGGGCAAAGTGGAATGTGGAGGTGATAGACAGCATGGCCTGGCTCATCCCATGGACTCTGAAACAGAAGGACACCCAGACTTTCTCCAGCATGGGCCCAGGGCCTGCCCTGCCCACAGCCAGAGGCTTTGCCAGCCCTGGGCTTTTGGCATTAAGTTCTATTCATAATATGATGGCCACATGCCTGTGCCTGTGGGGAGAGCCAGGCCTCTCTGGATACTGATGCCAGCATGTTGTGCTTGGAGATCTTGGTGCATCCTACCCTTCCTGGTTGCATGTCCTCAGTTGTTAAGATGGACCTGACCCTGGGCAGGATGCCTGGGCACCATGGACTGTGGGGGCTGCAGTACTCAGACTGTCTCTCCCCAAGAACCCCTCTCCCTTGCTGACCCCAGGGAAACGAACATACTAGCTGCCTGCCCAGATGCTTGCCTTAGCTCACCAGACTGCAGCATAGTTGCTGCCCACAACAGGACCACTGACCTCCCACCCCGGCCTGGGCAAGGAAGGGAGGTCACTTCTTCAAGCATCTTGTGGCGTCTGAAGACCACAAGCTCTTCTGCAGAGACCCCGCTCCAGCTCTGAGCCCTGGAACCTGCAAGTGCAGACCCCGTTCCTGGCTTTGGCCATCTGTCACAGAAGCTGGGAGCCAGGCCTGAGAACTGGGGACTCCTGGTCCCTGGTCAGCACCCACGAGGCTGTGCTTGTAGGCACAGCCAGGCAGAACTAGAGAGCCAGAGCATCCCTGAGACACAGGTTTGAGGCTGCTTTGAGGCCACTGGCCCTGGGCTGGGCAGGATGGTCAGGCTAGTACCTTGGTGAAAGCAGGCCAGAGCTCCTGCTTGGAAGTAGATGCCCCTCAGCCATGAATTGGGAAATGTGGCACTTTAAATGTACAGCCCAGTGCTGGCTGTTAAATGGCTGAATCTGGGAGGTTTTTCTTTCCTAAAAAGAAATGTGTGAAATACAGCAAGTGATGTCTAGCTCATCGGCCTATGGCTTCATTTTCTTGATGATACTGGGGGTTGAAGCAAGAGTCTTATAAATGCTAGGCAGACTTGCTTTACCATTGAGGCACATCTCAAGCCATGTTTTCAGTTTTATTTTGAGACAGTCTTGCTAAGTTGCCCAGCCTGGCCTTGATCTTGTGATCTTCCTGCCTCAGCCCCCTGGATAACTAGGATTACAGGTGTGTGCCATCACATCCAGCCTCTGTGCACCTGAATGCTTCAACTGAGGGAGGAGCAGTTGCTCTAGAGCCCATTCCCTGGCTGCAGGGTGCTGTCTTGGCCTTCCCTGCAGGGATCTTGGGGCTGAGGCTCATTCCTCAGTGAGAGAGAGGCCAACTGCAAACCAGGAAGCTGGCAAAAAACCCGATTCAAGTTTTTGTTAATGGGACTTGCAGCCTGTAGTATTTTTATTTCAGATGAATTAATAAAGTTCTACATGCACATCATACACAGGTCCCATGTACCTTGTCCTTCAGGGTTTCCCACTTTGCTCAAAAGTTCTGCCTGTACTGTGCGACCTGGGCTGCGGTCTAGATACAGCAGGAGAAACGTGTTGAGTGTAAAGCTTGCCTCAGCCTGTGCCGCTGGGGCCTACAGCACAGCACCGAGCCCATGGCAGGAGCCCTTCAGGGGTTCTGACCCATGTCCCCGGCAGGGCTGACAGGCAGGGGTGGGGGTAGGGTTGTCTCGGTGAGGTCCTGCAGCAGGCTCTGCAGCCGCTGCATGCTGGGGTGCACGTTCTCCTCCAGCCACTCCTCCACAGTGTCAGGGTAGAAGATGCACTGCAGTGCCACCTCCAGTTGCTGCACCAGTGCACCCCACCTGCCCAGGAGGCTGAGGGCAACAGGGCTGTGAGTGGCTGTGCTTGCTGATGTCCCCAGCCTCACAGGTCAGCACTGTTCCATGCCTCAGCCTACCCAGTGGGACAAGTAGGTGAGTGAACTGGGCATACTTTAGCATCTGACCGGGATGCATTTTACAGTTGGCTGGCAGTTTTCTTGGTGGCACGTGAACTGTCATACAGTGGGCAGCATCTTGCTGTCATGTGTGACACACTGTTAGGTTCAGCTCACAGCCTTGACCAGGAGGGGAAGGGAAGACAGCATGGGGCCCCAGCCACAGGGACACAAGGGCTCTCAGCCAGGGTCCCTTGGGTACAGCAGGACCAGGTAGACCCCAAGTGGGCAGATTCCAAAGGTGGGCCCCAGGCCTGCCTGAGCATGTGGGTGATGTTCTCCTCTTGGACTAGGAACCACTCAGCTTCTCAGTGATGTCAAGGGCAGTGTTAGGGAACACATCAGATTCATCAGAGGCTGCAACCCCAGAAAGTGGGTCTTAACTGAACCCCCAAGGGTGCTCACCTGAGTGCCTCAGGCTGGATGTGCTGGAGCATAACAGGGTGGATGAGCTTTCGCCTGCGATGGTAGGGGCTGAACCAGCCGGTCACATACCTAGGGTAAAGCAGACAGGTGAGCACACTAGCCAACAGCAGCTAACAACACAGGTGCTTTGTAGTGACACCCCTGGGAAAATGTAAGAATTTGGTAATTTTTGAGACAGGGTTTCACCATGTAGTCCTGGCTGTCCTTGAACTCACTGTGTCACCAGAATGGCCTCAAACTCATGATCCTCCTGCTTTAGCTTCTGGAGTGCTTGGTTTAGTAGCAATATTAAAAAGTTGTACTTCTCAGGAAACTGAGGGAGGAGGATTGCAAGTTGGAGGCCAGCCTGGGCTATACAGCAAGACACTGTTACACAAGCAAAAACCAAAAGACAAAAACCTGCTTCTCCCAAGAAAGCCTTTGTGAAGGAGACCAGTGGGGGTGGGGGCCACTTACCTGTTCCTCTCCAGCAGCGCGTCCACAGAACTGCTCAGGTGGAGGCTGACTTGTGTGACCAGGGCGTGAATGCTGCTGCCAGGGAAGGAGCCGGCTCCCTCGCTGCCAGAGAGCCAGGCTGAGATGGGTGGTTCCCAGCGGGAGGGCAGGGGTGTGACTGATAGGGCAGGGTGCGGTTACCTCACAGCATCCGTTACTCCTGGGCTTGAAACCCCAAGGTGGTTCTCCACTCTAAATTTCACATCCTCAGAAAATCCTCCTGAAACCAACCACAGACAGAAGCTGTCGGAGGGAGGGGAGGGGAGTCCTTGTTCCTGCAGACCACGCAGTCTGGGCCTTCAGGCCCTCAGGCAGAGCATGATGGGAGCCCCAGCGCAGCCCAGCCCTGTACTTGTGATCCCAGGAGACCTCAGGGTGAGCCCTGCCACTTCTCATTACTGTAAAGACCAGAAAACAGAAATACCAATGGTATTGCTGGCAGGGCCACCACCTGGCTGAGCCCTGGCTCCCTGTGCAGATGGGCCAGGCTCTTGTGGAGTCTGCACCTGAAGCTCCCTCAACAGTGGGATATTCTAGAGCTCCCAGAACAAGCCGGGGATGCAAGTGCTGGCATGGATAGCACAAGTCAGTACCGAGGCTGTGGCAGGATAGGAGGGCAGGAGGGTCCCTGGTCGTGTGGTAGGCAGGAGCAAGCACTGGCTCCCTTGAAAACTTGACACATAGAAGCCAATGCAGCCCCATCCACAGCTCCCCACTCGGGGTGTGTGGGGTATGTGCTGTTGCCTCCTTGCCTTAATGTATATCCTCCATAGTTCAGAGTGAACAATTGGTAAAAGCTAAGACTCATCCTCTGCACATCCTACCCTGGCTCCTTGCTAAGCCATGTTTGCAGGCACTGTGTCCTCACTCTGACCGAGACCCTTCTGGCTGGGTGCTGTGGCACACGCCTGTAATCCCAGCACTTGGGAGGCTGAGGCAGGAGGATTGTTGTGAGTTCGAGACCAGCCTGGGCTACAAAGTGAGCTCAAGGTCAGCCTGAACTGCATAGTGAAACCCTGTCTCAAAAACACTGGAAAAAAAAAAGGAAAGCGACCCTTCAGTCTGCAGGGACACACACCTGTGCATTCCTACACTGGTGTGGTTTGATTGTGCACCATGGACTTCACCAAGGTCCTACTACCAGCCCCTGCTCTGAGCACCCTGTCTGTCTGCTCTGCTGCATCCAGTCCAGCTGCTCCCTTAGGTGATGGGGTCCCTGGTTCTGCACAAGCTGCCTCCTGGCTCTCAGGACATTTATATAGCAAAGGCGGACTCTTCTTCTACGCCCCACAAAGCATTAATTTCATGCAGGTTCAGTGAGTGTGACTTCTGACTCTGCAGCCTGCCTCAGGCCTCGGCTTGAAGACCGGGGTTCAGGCAGGCTGGATCAATGGTGGGTGGGTGGCTGTGCCAGCTAGGCTGTGTCAGTGTCCTCCTCAATGCAGCTGACCCCACTGTGATGAGGACTGAGGTCTAACCCCAAAGTGGGCCACGGTTGGGGGATATCTGTGCCCAGGAGGAGCTGGTGACGCTAGGCAGCAGGCAGACATACCATGGAGGAGTAACTGCAGACAGGCAGCCAGTGACGGGATGCCCACGGGCAGCAGCTCGCAGAGCACGGAGAAGTGGTCATACCTGTGCAGAGAGGGACACTCAGCTCTGCTGCCCTCCGCCTATCCAGCCCAACAGAGGCACCCTAATCCAAGGTGTCCTTGCTCCTGTCCTGGGGCCCCAGGGACAGACAAGGGTCCAACCCAGGCTGTAGGTTGTATGTGCCTAGTTTTAAAGAGGAAGTTTTGTCACTTATACATATTAACTATATTGTATGTTTTATATGTGGCCCACAGCAATATTCCTTCCCTCCAAGTGTCCCTCCCCCAGCATCCTCCTTCTGCCTCCTGGCAGCTGTGCCAACACCCATGCTTTTCCCCAAGGCCCCACGAGGAAAATGCCGTGGGCCTGGGCACCTCCACCTGCTCCAAGCTCAGTTTCCTCAGCTGGGAGCTGGCTGGAGGTGGATGTGGCCGCAGGTGTGGCAGGTGGGGACAAGCGGAAAGGTGGGTGTTGTGATGCTGAAGTCAAACTTTCTTGGGCTCCAGCCCCTGTCCCATGCACAGAGAGCGCTACTCATTGGGGGCAGTCCTGGTGTCGTCCAGATCCAGCAAACCCCAGGCCCACAGAGTAGATGCTCTGGGCATTTTCATGGTAGCAGACAGTAAGAGCCACCTGGAAGCTTCTGCAGAGCTGGCTGCTGCTCCTGGATGCACCCTGGTGCTGGGAGCCGACCCTACACTGCAGTCACACACTGCACTCTGGTCACATCCTGGAGTACCTGATGGCTTCTGGGGATGCCCACCATGGTCCTGCTTCTACTACTTCACTGCAAACCCAGTCTCTGCCCACCCTACACACAGGTCAGGACCAAGGTAGGGTAGGCTGACGACAGAGATTGATATGCTGCCCTACTTTCCAAGTGAGGAGGATTATAGAAGACCAACATCCATCCTGTGTCCTGCTATGCCCCACGACACACAGCCAGTCTGGTGTGGAGTGCAGATGGTGCCCCTTAACAGAATCTGGGCCCTACTTGGGACACCTGAGGTCACACTAAGCAGGCTGTGGCCAGGCTAGGGAGCTGCCCCCACTCTTGGCTCCAGGACCAACCTCTCACCAACCCACCTCTGCCAGCCAGTCAGGATGATGCCCTGCAGTGTATCCGCTGGCCCTCTGCCTGCCACCTGCAGCCACTGAGCATGGTTCCTGAGGTGGTGCTGAACCGGGGGCAGGGCCTGGTTGGCCCCCGTAGCCCCCTTGAAGGCACTGGCTGCCCACAGTCGCAGAAAGCCACACTCCCGGTACTTCTCCATCAGGAGGACTGGGTGGAAAGCAGGTGGGTGAGTGGCTCTGTGGAGACAGCCTGTGTGAGGGCCCAGGACGCGAGTGCCCACGTCATGCACTGTCCTGGCCCAGCAGTGGGAGTGGTCTTGGCCCTGGGCTGATGGCTGTGGAGTAGAGTTCAGCTTCTCACAAGAGGCCCCCAGTTCACAGGCTCATCAGGAAAATGTCCTGCAGAAATGTGAAGAGCAAAAGCTTCCCACTAGGGTGTCCCATCCCTGTCCTGGGTGGGGTCTGCAGTGAAGCAGGGCAAAGCGGGGCAGCAGCTGTCCTATCATCATCACACACTGGTCAGCTGAGCTAATCAGGGCACACCTGCAGGCCATGCAGCCTACATCACAGCGTCATGGGGGTGGGGAACAGCCTCCAGGGTTGAGGGTATTGGGCACACAGGTTGTGACTGGGGCATCCTGGGCAGCCTGGTACTGACCCTTGGCGTGGACATCTATGTCGGCACTGTAGTCCCAGAGCACAGGCTCCACCAGCTGCGGCACCCCAGATGCTGAGGACAGGGCAAGAATGTGAATGTGGTCCCTCCCCCGCCAATCCAGGCCACTCTCCAAGCCCCTCAGGCACAGACACACTCTTTTGGCATGAAAATGGAATATAAACCATCTTGTCAGGCCTGGTGACTTTCAGGCACAGGCTAGGTACTGTGCTCTACACAGCACAGCCACAGAGAATGCTTTTCAAAACCTCCCACATTGGAAGCGACTAGGCTCCTGGAGCCAGTGCGTCTGTCTGTGCTCCACAGAGGCCCCTGGACAGAGTCAGGTCACAAAGAATACAGGTAAAGCCAGGCATGATGGAGCATGCCTGTAATTCCAGCACTCAGGAGGGTGAGGAAGGAGGGTTGCTGTAAGTTCGAGGCCAGCCTGGGCTACATAGTGGGTTCAAGGACAGCTTGTATTAGATAGCAAGATCTGTCTCAAGGGAAAAAAAAAAGACATGGGCAGAGTGCTGATGCTCCCATAGTGCCTTCCTGCCCACTAGCCTACATGCTGCAAGACCCACGGCTGCTTAGGAGTGACGTAGACCTGGCTTTCCCGTGCACACACGAAGAGCAGGACTAGTGGGAAGCTCAGTCTCAGAACATCCTGAGGTCAGGGTGTCAGGCATGTGGTAGAAGTCCCCACCCAAGCCCTGCATGGCCCACCTGCAAGCTGGTCCTGAGGAATGTCCCGCAGCATATCATCCCACACCAGGGGCGTTGTGCTGGGGTGCTGGCTCAGCACATGGCTGGCCACTGCCCGGATGTGGGACAGATACAGCTTGGCTTGGCTGTTCTGCTCCTTCTGCAGCCACTGTTTAGAGGCCTCCCCTTCACCTAGGTAGTAGACCTGCAGGAAGAGGTGGATGGCTAGGTAGGTGTTGTGCCCACACTGTCAGGAGTCTTGGGGTGGCTGAGTGCAGAGAGGAGGCTAAGTGGGGACTGAGATTTCTAACTCTCAGCTCTGAGGAATGGACAGACTCATATCCCACCCTGACCAGGGGATGTTTCTGACTCATGCTTCAACATAGATGGACCTTGTCCTGCACACATTCGATGAGCGAAGTCAGAAGCAGAAAGCCACATATTGTGTGACTCCATTGAGGTGAAATGTCCACATGAAGCAGGGCCAGACAGACAGAGAGCAGGCTAGGGGCTGCAGGTGCTGAGGCAGGGTCTTCCTGGGGTTTAGGGGGGCCCTGAAGGGGGGCAGTGATGATGGTCATACATCTTCCCAAATGAGCAGAGAGCTGCTGAAATCTACACTTTAAGCATGCGTGCACGCGCGCACACACACACACAAACACACACTCTTTTCCTAAAGGGAACCATGAGCTGACTGTTGCAGATGCAGGCCTGGATCAGGCTCCAGTGGGCTCCAGACCTACAGAGGCCTGGCTCAGCATCCCTAGGTCCTGCCCGTGCACCTGGAGCCAAGCAGTGAGGCAGAAAGGTGGGGACGCTGCCTGGCCCCCCAAGACTACCTCTCCAAATGAGGGCTTTAGGGTCTAAAAGTAGTGCACCCCCTACCACCACCCAAACTGCACTTCTTTGATTAGAACAAAATTCTGGGGCCTGGTGTGCCCGTGAGAGGGTGGCTCTGTGCGTTTGGGGGCAACACAGCTCTTTCTGCCTCTGCAGGCCCCTACTGCATGCCAGGCCATGATCCGTCCCAGGAGCTGGATGGGATGGGGCCCATCTCCTTGGCAAGGCTCTTTATTCTTTGGCACTTCGAGGGTTTTTATACAAGAAACTTTGGCTTGGGAGAAGGTGACGTTGAAGAAGAGGGGGTGCGGAATGTGGAATGAAGGCACCTACCTCATCACACCCGATGTGGAGCCAGCGGGCGTCTTTGTGCAGCCCTAGGACCTGGTCAATCATGGCGCTCACCAGGGCCAGGGACTCCGCCTCATGAGGGTTGAGGGTATTGGGGAAGAATGCCACTTCTCGGAGGTGTGCAAATGCTGAGTGCTTCAGCACGAACTGCAGGGAGGCAGGAGGGGCTGGTGAACTGCAGAGGGAGGTGCCCAGTGCCTGAGCCCACTGCCCCATGAGGCTCCTGCCACCCACCATGACATTTTCTGTTCAGTCTACCAGGCTGAGGCGCAGCCTGGTTCCTGACACCCAGAAGTCTGCAGCATGGGAGACAGGGAGGCTGGCTGCCCAGCAGGTAGCAACTTCCAAACCTGCTACCCTCTAGTTTCTCAAAGGCCTCCTTTCCTCTCCCCATTCTAACTGGGTGTGTGACAAACTAGAAAGACAGGAGGGTCTATTCACTTTCAGAGTTTGGGGTGAACACTCTTTTGGCTACTTCAGCATGAAGCGGTTGGCAAACCCTTCCCAAAACAAGTACAAAAAATGAAAATAGCCACTTCAGGGCTCTGGAAATCAGCTGAAGGTGAATTGAAAAATGGTTACTTGTGAGCAGCACAGAAACGCTTTCGGTGAGGGCTGCTCCCTGTTCCCCCACTCAGGGTCCCCCAGCTGCGAAAGTCAGCAACTTCACTGCCAGAGGGGACGGACTTAAATGCCAGAGAAGGCAGGCTTTCAGGGCACTGGGGGGTATAGCTAGAAGCCTGAAACCAGGAGGCTGAGGGCCAGGGAAGGGGTTCAGTGATGCCACAGGGTGAGAAGCGTCAGGGGACCTAAGCCTGTCCCTGATTTGGCGACACAGAGGACACTGGTGTTGAGAGCCAGAGGAGTGCCCAAAATACAGGAGTGTAACAGGGGGAACCTACTCGAAAATCTGGGTGGACTGAATTTTGGGAGAGGATTCCAAAAGGCAGGCTAAGAGCCTGCGGGCAGGCCCAGCAGTGCCTGGGGCTTGGAGCAAAAGCACCCTCTTCCCTGAGTGTAGACTGAAGTGGAAGCAGAAGCGCTGCTGGTAAACTTGAGGGAGTTCAGTATTAGGCAGAGGAATTCATGCACCCTAGGCCATTACATCAACATTGGGTTTGTTTCCCAATTCTTTAGTGTAGAAATGGGCAATATGTTTTTTTTGTTTTTTTTACTTGAGACAGGGTCATGCTATACAGCCCAGGTTGGCCTCGAACTTGCAACATGTTATGCTTTGTATCTAGATGTCCTTCAAGAGCCTTACAAATGCCTAGGCACAGGACTTTGGGAAGGTGACTGGATCACAGACTGGCTGTTAAAAGGTGGTCCTGGTGGGAAAAGGCGAGGCACTGGGGTGTGGCCTGGGGGGGTTGGCTTCCTTTCCAGGACCTCCCTTCCTTTTCTCTGCTTCCTGACTGCTGTAGCCCAAACAGCTTTCCTTTGCTATGTTTTTTGCCCAGGCTGTTTCTGCCCTGGACCAGCTGACCATGGACTGCAAACATGAGCCAAAATCTCTTCCTTTAAACTGCCGGTGTTGGGTATTGTGTATTACTATATTGTGTATTGCTGGGTATTATGGGCAATAAGAAAGTGACTAAGACATGACCTCCCTGCCTCAGCCTCCCGTGTCATGAAAAATATTCTTGAATTGTTTTCAAACAGAAATGGAAGGCTTCTCTCCCTTTCCCATAGGCTGCTGGACCTGGAGTGTGTGCTCTTTGGCTGCTTGTGGGGAATGGAAGCGTCTGCACGGTGGCCTCTCAGTACAGTGCAAGCTCTATGCTTGGGAACAAGCCTAGCCTCTGGACCCATACCCGTGCCTCTCACCTCCATGTGTCCAAAGGTCTGCACCAAGGGGATGACCTCCAGCTCACTGCATCTGGCCAGACGAAGGATCTCCGTGACTTCAGAAGGGCTGGGGAGACAAAGACCATGGCTAGGCATGTGATAGCCAGTCGGTCAGCTTGGTCTGAGCCAGTCTCTAGGTTGTCTGAGTTTTACACAGACCTGGCCTACACAGAAGTACCAGCTGCAGAGTGGGGGTTGGCGGCCAGCCTTGGGAGGCAAAGTCACCTCTCAGCTGCTTTCACACAGCCCTTGACCTAAGCATGGCCCCCAGGCCAGCAGTGCCGCCTGGGTCAGTCCTGGGAGGACCCCTGCACATGTCACTTTCCTGTGCTTCACAAGTGCCATCCTGGGTGGCTGTCTAGGAGCTTCACTAAAAACAAAACTGCTTCTAGGTTCTGCATGTATGTGAGCCATCTCTTAGCGAGCTCTAGACAATCTTTATTCATAGAAAGTTGTTTTTACTCAATACCTATTTCAAGCTTCAAAGGAAGTTTTTTCCCTTTGAAAAACAAAGTATGTCCACTGTTAGAAAAATCACAGAAGAGCACGCAGAGTAGAGGTACTGCAGTAAGCACCCCACTGCAAGCACCCCCTGGGCTTTCTGCTGCCCCTGCCGCTGGGCCTGCCCACTGTGGTGAGAGGCTGGATGGGCAGGTAAGCTCAGATACCAGCAGGGCCAGGCTGTCCTGACATCCTACCACCAGCTGGGCTACTTTTTCTTAGGCTCACTGTCACAGAGGCACAATATAGGCAGAAGCTTTACCAATCAGTGGCCCAAACAGCACTGCATAGTTGTTCTAGTGAAAGCATCACTTATTGGTCACTTTTATTTCTTCTTTAGGGATCTGCCAGCTCCACTGCTTCACCCTTTTACTTCTGGGCATCTGCAGTTGGCCTGTGGGAGCTGCACATGCCTTCCGGACCCCCTAGGTCCCATCTCTCCTCAGCCTGCACTTCTGACTCCAGGTCTGGCTCTCACCTGACTGGAGCCCAGTACAGGGCTCGGGGAGCCTGCTGCAGACTTATACTGAGCAGGACTGAGAGGCTGAATTGCAAATCACACCCTTCCTGGTGGGGCTGGTAGATGCATTTTTTAAAAATGTTTCCAAGTTCACTCCAGTGAATGTGTTCTGTTTTTATAATGTTTTACTTTTATAATTAATTTAATTAATTAATTAATTTTTTGTGGTACTGGGCTTTTGCACTGAGCTACCTCCTGGGACTTTTATTTTTTGAGACAGGATCTCACTAAGTGGCGCAGGCTAGGCTGGAACTTGTGATTCTCCTGCCTCAGTCTCCCAGAACACTGGGGTCACAGGTGTGCGCCATCACGCCCAGCTCTCAATCAATCTTTATAATTGAAGACATGCATTTCGGAAGACAGTAAAGGGACATATCCACCCCAGTCACTGTACCTTCCCTCCCGGAGCCTTTCACTCCCCTCGGATTGCCCTGCTGGCTGCCAGGTGACACCTGTACCTGTATGCATGTGTGGCCCTCAGCAGCCTCAGATGGCCCTCGTAGGGAAACATATCTTCATACTCAATGAGGAGGCCATTTGCACCCAGAGCACGGAACAGAGGAAAGATCTGTGGGAGACAGGGAGGCTGTTAGGAAGATGTCGCTGTTTGAACACAAAGCAGCACCTGTGCTGCACGTGGACTTTTCCTCTCCAGCCTTTGGAGCTGGACAGCAGTTGCTACTCCTACTTCTCCTGAAAACTCTGACCCTTGAATGTGTACCATATGCTCCACTAGACCAGGAGCAGCCAGCTGGTGACAGGAGGGGAAGCACACTGCCTAAGAGAAGCAGCACGCTGCCCACAAACAGCAGGAGCTCCAGCAGCAGGACCCAGGAGCTGGAAGGAGGAAGAGCAGTTTTCTTTTCCCAGATTATAGGAAACTCTGAAACATGCTGGATTGAAGGAGGAAGTCAGTGTGGGACTAACTATTAGCTACAGATTAATTCATACAATGGGTAATCAGTAAGTGACTGTGAATCAAAAAGAGGCCACCTTACACACCTATTATCCCAGCAGCTGTGAGGCTCAGGCATGAGGATCACTGAGCTCAGGGCCAACCTGAGATACATAGTGAATTTGAGGCCACTCTGGGCTACACAGTGAGTTCAAGGCCAGCCTGGACTACATAGTAAGAGACCCTTTCTCAAAAATACAACACAAAACAAAAAAAGCCAATCATGGAAAAAAGTAATCCAACCCAATCATCCACATTTGGACACATAAATACAACACTTGTGGCATTTTTCACCTTTTTGGGTGCTTTTGCCTCTGGTTTCCTCTTTGGCTTTCCATGGCCCTTGACCCTGATGCCCAGGACCCCACTGGGCAGCTCTACACTGGGCAGCAGGTGCCTGAGACCCAGCAGGCCTGGAGTTCACAGACACACGCGCCTGCCTGGCGTCTGCACACTGGACTGGGGCACAGGTTTCCTTTATGAAACTGTACACACATACACAAATGCAGGAAATCACTGAACGAGCCTCAGCTGTCATTGTTACCAACATTTCGCCGATATTATTTCAGCTAATTTCCATTCTTCTTTTTGGTGAGAGTATTTCAAAACAAATCTCAGACATCTTTTTCACCTATAATTTGTATCACTACCTGGTAAAGACTTTTGAAAAATTGCAAGTCATTATCCTAACTAACCAAATTATTGGCAATACTTTTTTCTTTCTGAGGAACTATGGATTGAACCCAAGACCTCAACTGATTTATATCGTCGGTCCTTTTTATTTTTTTTTTTTTTGAGACAGAATCTCACTAAGTTTCCCAGGCTGGTGTTGAACTTTCGATTCCCACTCCTCAGCCACATGAGTCACTGGGATTACAGTTGTGCATACAACATATGGTGTACGGTTTAATAATTCCTTATTATCATTCATATTAAAATCTTTTCAAACGAGAAAAGAAAGAAGGAAGGAAAAATAATATGTGGATATACAAGGATAGCTGGGATAATTGTACTGCTGATGTCTATTGGTTTACTGAAAAGAAGTTAATACTTAAATTTTTCTTTTTCTGACCAATTTTGTATGATTATATCTGGTAATGTGAACAACTAATTTGAAGACAACAATATGCAATACAACAACCATTGTTGAATCCCTACTACCTTGATTAATGAAACTCTATTTCATTTCTAATAGCTTTTAAAATTATTTTTTATTCTCATTTGCTCAATCTTTTATTCTTACATCTTCGTTGCAACTTTGTTGAAGATAACAATATGTAATATAACAACCATTGTTAACTTTTTAGTACCTTGTTTTGAAATTCTGTATCATTTTTATTGTTTTTGTGTTGTTTTGTTTTTGCCTTGTTTTTTTTTTTCTCTTTACAAAAAAATGTTCCTCTTTCAAGTCTTTTAACCTCTTTGGCTTATTTGAATCAGATCCATGCGTTTTTTTGGTGTATCTTTCAGGGTTTGGTGTTTTTAAAAACAGTCTCCCCTGCCTGTTTTTCTTTTAATTTGAAATTCATTTGTTGAAGAAACCAAGTAATTTATTCTAAATGGTTTTCAAAATTATGGATCTGCCCTTAGCATTTCTATTTCTTGTTTTCCCTCCTGCTGGTATTTAGCTTCAAAGATGTGATTAGAGTCAAAGTTCCATTCTTGGGGCAGGAATACATCCCAGTGGCCATGGACAGCCCAACTGGGCTGTCCTACCTGCAGTGCTAGCTCTCAGTGGCTCAAGTAACAGCAGCCTCCATCCCCACGAACCTGATTCCCAACGGCAGTGAATTATCACTCACCCAGCATTTCACTGTGCAAGGTGCTGACTTTCAATGGCCATTCCTTCTGTGTCCATTAGCTGGAATTCTATTCTTTTTTTCTTTCCTTCCTTCCTTCCTTCTATTCTTTTTTCTTTCTTTCTTTCCTTCCATCCATCTATCTATTAAAGACAAGGCCTTAAAAAATAAATAAATACATAAATAAATACATAAATAAATAAATAAAGAAAGAAAGAAAGACAAGGTCTCACTATGCAGTTTAGGCTGGCCTTGAACTCATGGCAATCTGCTTGCCTCTGGCCTTGAACTCACTGTGCAGCCCAGGCTGGCCTTGAACTCACGGCAATCCTCTTGCCTCAGCCTCCTGAGTGTTGAGATTAACAGAAAGTGCCACCATGCCTGGCATACTAGCTGGAATTCTTTAAGGAAGACTCTTCTCTCAGTTAGTACTTGGCGACCCCCATCCTAATGCTGAAGCTTGCTCCTCGTATTCTACTCAGTTCTTAGATATCTGTCACAGCTGGTCTGTGGCTTTTATAATCAAAGGCTGATTTAGCTAGAAATATTTGATTCATATTCTATTTTCTCATCTATTTAAAATCTGTTACTCTTTTCAGTCATAAAATGTTGCTATCTAAATGTTTCATGCCAACTGGTTTTCTCTCCCTTTTATATGACTTGGGACATTTTTCTGAATGCATAAAAGGTTACTTTTCTCATTTCATTTCCCTAAAGTCTGACAAATTTACTAAAAGATATCTTCACATACATCATTATAAATAAATTTTCCAGGTACACAGTATGTCTTTTCAATGTATAGATTCAAGTATTTTATTTTAGGAAGTTTTTTTTTGTTGTTGTTGAAACAGGGCCTTGCTATGTAGTGCAGGTTGGCCTTAGCCCAGGCTGGCCTCAAACACACAGTGATCCTGTCTCAGCCTCCTGAATGCTGGGATTACAAGCGTGTACCACTATGCCCAGTAAGAAGATTTTTTTGAATTGTATATTTTTACCTTTTGTTCCAAACTGCTGCTTTGATTATCTCTTCCAGAGAATGCCGAACATGTGGCCACAATCACTCAGCTCTCCCATCAAGAGGGACTGCTAGCTTTGGGATCTGCTTTCCCAACAGTAAGAGGCAGCAGGGCTTTGTTCACCACCATGCTGAAGAAAGCTAGCCCAGCCTCCTAGGGAACACATGCTGAGGAGACCAAGATGCTGACAGTAAAAACTTGAATGAGGCCACCTGGAGCCATCAAGTATTTCTAACTGTTCCAGGACTGATCACAGGAGAGAACCTGGCTTAGACCTGCTGAACCATCCATCCAGCCTACAGAAACATGTCGGGTGGCAGGCTGTGGTCCTAAGCAAGTTTGGGGGTGATTTGTCACACAGCAAAGTAATTGAACAAGGCACCCCAGTTACACATAAGTTGGATCTTCTTTGCCTATTCCTGCACCTACCAGCTTGTCACAATACTCTTTTGTCTCATGTTGGATTTTTTTTCCCTGTCATTTACTTCCAATTACTGTATTCTCCAAGGTGGCCAGTCACTTTTGTGCTTCTTCAAGCCTCGTTTTCTTATCTGCATTTTTTTTTTCATAATACATTCATGAACTCCACAGGCAACCTTTCACATCTGCCTTCAGTTTGATCATCACATTTCTGGACTTCGGTTTCTGATTTCAGTGTCTATCATTCTGGGTCTCTTTCATCTTCTTTGCATATGATATTCTCATCTCTCTGTGGCCCTGTGTTCCCAATGCACTTCATGGCTGCCATGGAGATCATCTCTTTTTTTCGGTGGTACTGGGGGAACGAATGCAGTCCAGCTGGGTCTGATCTAAAGATGTTTTGTGATTCCCCCTGCCTTATCCCTTTGAATAATGGGATCACAGGCATATGCTACCTGTTGTTCATTTTTAGAAGAGTTTCTTATGGTCACTTTTAGAATAGGTTCTTATGGAGACAGACACCCCAGGGCCCTTCTCTATAGGCTCTGAGTCACTCATTCTGCAGTGCTTCTTGGTTTCTGCAACCTCTGGACCCTTATTCCTGGATCTGAGCATTCTCTCCTTCACCCTTGGTGATGTACTTAGTTTGATGTAAATTCTTCTCCCAATTTTTGTCCTTACTATGAGGTTTTGTTTCTGGAAGGAAGTTCTGTTACACGTTTCTGAGAGCCCTGTGGCCTTGCAGAGCACCACCCCCCCACACTCTTTAGAGCCTTTGCACTCACCTCAAACTAGAGTCAGCAAAACCTTCCCTTGGGTTCTTGCTATGCAGGACATCTATTTGGGGCCTATCTTCTGAGTCCTTTGTCTTAACATCATTGAAATTTCTTTTTCCTTTCCTTACCTTGGGCCAGGCTGCTAACCCTACATGGACAATATCCTATCTGGGCATGGCCCCACCTATTTCAATTTTGGAATTCACAGGGATACTTGATTCCTAGTTTTATTGATTACAAACTGGGTGGCTTAAAAGACCCTAAGTTTTCTCTCACAGTTCTGGCCAGAAGTCCCAGAACCAGGTGTCGGCGAAGTATGCTCTCTCTGCAGGATCCACAGGAGGGTCCTGCCTTGCTGCTTCCAACCTCTGGAGGTTGCAGCAATTTTCAGGGTTCCTTGGCTTGTGGCTGCATCACTCCAGTCTGCTTCTTTTGTCACTGGTGTCCTCCTAGCATGTCCTCTTGGCATCTTCCCTCTGCACAATTCTGAGTCTAAATTCTCTCTTTTTTTGAGATAGGGCTTTGCTGTGTATTTCAGGCTGGCCTCAAACGTGCAGTGATCCTTCTGCCTCATCCTCCCAAGTGCTGCGATTACAGGTGTGTGCCATTAGGCCTGGCTAATTCCTCTCTTCTTATTCAGAATCACTGCAATCCAGTACAACCTAATCTCACTTTGCTTACACATACGCAGATCTTTCCAAATAAGGTGACACTGGCAGGGATTAAGATTTGAATTTATCTTCTTTTAGTGTGTGTGTGTGTGTGTGTGTGTGTGTGTGTGAGTGAGACGACACACACAATTCAATCCACAAAAAAGAGGTTGTGATTTGTTTCGTTCTTTCTTTTGTTCCTTGTGCCACCGTGACTGTTCTGTCTCATTTTGTGAGGGAATATGGGAAAAATGAAACTCAAAACTGCTGCCTTACCTGCCCCAACCTTGGGCTTTGTGGTTGTTTCACAAGTGCCCACTTTCAGGTTACTGCTGGCAAAGTTAAAGACTGTACCCCAAGGCAAAGGTGATTCTCTAGAAGCAAAAGGAAGTTCTTACCTCAGAGAGGTATGAAACCTTTGGTGGAGCTCCTTTAAAGTCCAAATGAACTAGTCTCATCTTAAATGCTGTGGAATCTGACATTTCAGTATTTTCTGCGAACTCCTATAACAGGATCTCTGTTCAGGGACTTCTTCCTAGTAGAGAAATCAGAGTTATTTATAAGCATGGTGGGCCAAGCATGGTGGCACATACCTGTAATCTCAGCACTAGGGAGGCTTAGACACGAGGATCACCGTGAGTTTGAGGCCAGCCTGGGCTACATAGTAAGACTGTCTCTAAAAACATCCCAACCAACCAACCAACCAAACGTGTGGTGGCTTCTTCCTCAGTCCCATCCTTAACACTTTCTGTTTCAGTTCTGATATTACCTAGTTTTGCTTTATTAACTTAGAGGAAACTCATATTACTAACACAAAAATGGAGAATTTGAGTATCTCCATATTCAAATACAGAGACTTTGTCCACTTGCCCCTAAAAATAAAACAGCACCGGTTTTATGATGGTTATGATTTTCAGCACAAACAACTGCAAAATCTGTGTGTGTGTGTACGCTAGGGTAGTACCTTGGGCCTCACAAGTGTTCTTGCACGGAGCAGCATCCCCAAAGGTTCTCAAACTACCGTACACTACACTAGATAATACAGACAGGAAGATGTCTCTATTTTTTTTTTTTTTTTAGATGTCTCTATTTTTTATCAGATCCAATGACCGATATTTTTGTAGGAAAATTATTCTCAATTTAATTTTGGACAACATAAAATCAATTCACATGTCTAGGATACAGGTCAGTTTGTTTGTAGGGAGGAATAAACTGCAAGCTTTACTCCAGATCAGAGAACAACCAGCTTGGATTAAAAATTAAGGCAATGATAACTTGGGAAGGGAATGAGCCCTAAGTGTATTAGAGCTGACTGTAATTTATACTAAAATAAATGCATCTGGATGATAATGAACCCTCCGGGAAAACAGCAGAGCTCGTCTTTTCCTATCTAGTAAAAGCACAAAGGATTAGCCGGGTGCGGCGAGAAGTCTCAGCACGTTGGCCGCGCACAGGGCCGGTAACTCCACCTGCTCAGTGTCGAGCGCCCTTAAGTCCTGGCCTCTGAACCTCGTACCCAAGAGCACTCCGCGGCACCGCCCCCCGCAGCAGGCGCATGGCCGTAAGAAAGGCGGCCTGGCTCGGTCCGGCCCAGCGGCCCAACTCACCCGGCAGCCGGCTACGCGTGTCCGGCGCCCAGGTGCTTGGCGCTCCGGGAAGAGCAGGCTCCGCCCCGCCCCGCAGCTCGGCGGCCGATTGCTCGCGCCTGGCCGTGCCGACCGCTGAGCGCATCGCTCCCGCGTCCCAGCACGGCACCTGCCTCGCTCCCTGTAGCGGCACTCGTTCCGGGCTCGGGGGCTCCCGCTCCTCGCCCGGCTCTGCAGCGGCCCGGCTGGATGGCGCCTCAGCGGAGGGGCCAGCTCAGAACCGCCGAGGGTACTGGGGCGGCCGAGCGGCGGCGCCCAAGCAGGTAGCGGGCAGCGCGCAGCGCGTAGCGTGGCGCGCTGGGAGGCCACGAGCAGCGGGGTGGGGCCCGCGCGAGGGGCCGGACCGGGGTTGGTGGGCGGGGCCGCGGGAGGGGCGGGATCAGGGCGGGTGCGGGGCCCGCGGGGCGGAACCAAGGTGGTGGGCGTGGCACCCGGCGAGTGCCCACTCCCCGGCCTTTGTCACCTCCTGAACCCAAGCCGGCCTTGGCCGGGTGGGGAGGGCCTACAACCCTAACTCGGGCGGAGACCCTATATAGGGACAGGTGGCAAGCCTGAGAGTGTGCCCTCAAAGTCACCTCGGCGCATGCTCCGTTGGCCTTTCCTTTTATCACTGATCCCTTGGAAGACTGCTCCGCAGGCATGCTGGCCCCTTCAGCGCTCCCAGTTTCTACGCTGGGCTGCTGGGTGCAAACTGCCGGGCGAAGGACTGTTGGCGCGAAAGGGAGGTCGTTAAAATGCACCTGGGGGCTGGGTGCAGCTCAGTGGTAGAGCCCTGCCTGGCCTGCGAGAGGCCCTGGTTCCATTCCCCCCTCCGCACCTCCTCCCAGCAGACTGTGGAGCTCTCTAGGTGTCAGCAGCTGGAAAGAGGCCAGGGGCAGCCAGGGAGTGGGCAGAGAGCAAAATGGAGACAGACACCACGCAGGTGGCACAGAGATAGGAGGGTCTGGTTTTCCTGTGGCACCGCTGCTGCCCTTGAGACGTGGTGTGTGTGGGCTGGACACAATCCAGGTGGGTGGCCCACCTGGAAGAGCAGCTCACCCTGCCGCTGAGGAGTCCCTGTGTGTGCACCTTCACTCTCAGAGCACGGAGCCAACTTTGGAAGCTGTAAAGGATGACAGGAACGGCTTAATTTGAGAACTTTAAATCTTGTAGTTGATGGTGGATTTGGAATTATTACTGAAAGATCCCTTAGCATGTAAAAAAAAGTTTGTTTGCTATCTTTTTTGCTTTCCTGGGGACTGCCTTATTTCATTCTCCTCTGTACTGAGCCCATAAATTAAAAAATCC